CGACCCAAACGCATAGAAAACTGTTTGAGGCTTAGTGGCATGCTATTTTTCGGACTGAAGAATTTGGGCTAGGCTACGTGCGTACGTACCCAGCTGCGACACGTGCCGGCTTGCGATTGGAAGTACGTTCCTTTCTAGCCTATCAACGGATATTTCTGGATATAGGTAAGCATGAACTTTATGTTGCAAAGAGAATAGCCGAAATTACTGATATGAAATGAGTTTCCTATCGCGAAAACAGGATCTGTGTTAAAATTATGAGAGTCTCCTTGGGTAAATCTGGTGTCGCAAGCACGTACAAGACATTCTCGATTGCGCCCAAAACCGGAAGCTATGCCATCTGATAGTCGGTCGTAAAAACTCTGGAATTATGTCCAACACGCGCAAAAGGATATTTCGAGAAGGTTTGGATAATGCAGCATGACGTTGGACCCACTGGGCGCTAAAAGACTGGGGTGAGAACATTCTTCCGGTAACCATGGGCGAGTTGTAATGAATACATTATTGTGGTTTAAATATATGTATAAATATACGACCACGGCTATATAATCGCAAAGCGAATAGCTCTAAAGCGTTCATTCTTGCCACCCAACGATAAAGCTTTGACAAAATGATGCTTTCATATAGGAAAAAACTTGGACGGGCTCCTTCTAGTAACAAATGTGCATTCACCGACTGCTCCTAGTACAAGACAGAAAGCATTTTTTTAAAACAAAATAACAAGCTCGTGCGTCTTTTTTTTTGGGCGAAGATCAGTTAATATTGAAGCTTTACGTATTGGACCAATCGCCACCAAAATTAAAAATGTTGATCTTAGTCTGAAATAAACGGACTATATTGTTGCCAACGTTTATGTAGTTTCTGAGAACCTAAAAAAAAAGATTCCAGAAGGCAAACTAAGATCATCAATTGAATTCAGATTTAAACGATTTAAGAATCCATTAAAAGGCATTTTTTTAACGGCCGTCTTAGCGGAGAGAATATCTGTTCTAAACTTGGATCGTCCGAGTTTTAACGGTTAGTAAGATTTTGTTTGCGCCTTCTGAAATTTTCGCCGTTTCCTTCGTTTTAAGCTGCTCCATTTTTGAGATTTATATTCTGCTATCAGCCCAAAATTTTATTTCATTGGAATTTGTTTATGTAACGCATTTACGCTGCACACGAGTTTACACATATCAATATAACTTGACACAAAGTTACTATTAAAGCATTATTTGCCCATTAATAAACGAATATCTTGGAAATAACAGGCTTGGGTCTCGTTTGGAATTGAATTTGCGATCGTGATCATAACCGTCAGAAATGCACTTTTCGCGCACGCAGAACATCTAAACTGCCTAGTTCTGTTTAGCTACAGTTTTATTAATAGAGCATAAAAAATTCTCAGTTCAGGCGCGCTGCTCTGTATGTATAGATGTATTCTAAACGTTGCATATACACATATATACACACATGCATCGCCTTAACTTTAATGCATATTAACCAAACGTCCCAGTAAACGAAGCTACCCATAGAAGAGCAGATATATTATACATCACTTCGCGCAGATGACTTCTACAGGACGTAGGGTCTAACGTGAACGCCATTGTAATCATATCCAAGGTCGTTCGCGGGGTACTCGACGCCGCCAAACCAGAGGAGTGGCCCGAAGAAATTGTGAGGGCACATCAACTCTAATACTTTCCGGACCGATAGTTTAGAAAGGCGTCGAGATCCTGGTGCTAATAGAAACCTGGGCGACTAGCTCACTCAATCTCTCCGATCTGCACGTTATGAACTACCCGCTTCGGAACAGATGTGATCCAGGGCATCCCACTAGAGTTCTGTCCGTGCGTTATAATCATAAAGCATGTGCCCTTTCCCTGTTTAGCTGAAAATAACATTATTGTGCCTATTTCCGCTATTTTCCCATGACATACGTATGGATAAAGAAGCATATTAACAATCTGCAGATACTGCCCTTCACCCAACATTGATCCCATTGTCCAGTCGCAGCTGGTGGTCCTAACGGTAGTTTAAACCGACGCGACTTAAATCGCACATTTAACAGACTAATTAAAACATGTTACCGGAATTTCGATAGATACATATATCCACCGAGATTATATATATATATATATATATACCGAGATTATATATATATATATATCGAGAGAGAGATACCGCACGCAATTCACATATGAATTGCGTGCGTGAGGCTACCCGATAACTATAGTTCTAAATAGATATAAATTTAATCTAAAGGAAAATTAACGCTTATTGTTTACATGTAAAAGTATGTTGAATAAGAACGACATTCCGATTATTTCGACTATGTGGCAAAATACGACAAAAAAGATGAGCGTGGCATATGTAGCAATCTGATATCAATGAGACAGATCCTATCGCAGGTATAGATCTCAGATTAGCAACCATTAACCTCATTGTAATGACCAGAGCTAATCAATGCAAAAGTGTATCAGAAAGTGCTATTATTTATTAGATAGCACAGTCTAGCAATACTGGGTGGTAGGTTTGTCACAGTATGTCCGCATTTCGAAAGGCTCATGCGGATTTCAGTTTCTGTATCACTAACTCGAGTTCGGTACCAGTCCAAGGACATGCCGAAAGCTCAGTGGGATTATTGACGTTTCGAGGTCAACGTAGCTCAAAATAAAGTTCGTTTTCTTAGAAAAAATTAATCGACGAAAAAAGGCTGACACATATCTCAATTGCCACAGCTCTCATGGTGAAAATGGTACCTTCCAGAACTGCTAAAAACCAACCACTAACGCCCAAATGTGAAGAATCTTCTGGAGTACGCTTACGCAGTCATCCCAGTAGCCAATATACTCAAGATGAAGGACTATGCACGACAATTCATCCAAATTTACCAGTCATCCATCCTACCAAGAACCACAGGCCCTGCTGCGATGAATCTCTATTGCCTCGCAAAAAAGCGGAATAAACCTTCAGACTGTTACTAAAGATATGCTCGCAACGTATTTTTTGGCTGCAGAGTTTAAGACAATTTTGCTGAAGAAAGTACGCCAGTTAAAAAGATATATGTATTTGACGATGTCGGGGAGTCAGCTAATATCGAAGGCGGGGTGGCAGCCGCACAAATAATTAATACTGTGGCTCGACTGCGTACACAATCAGCTTTAGTTCTTTGACTAAACATTTTCCTAATATGATCATGACAGGTGATACGATACGCCATATGGTGCTATTGTTTGTTGCAGTCTGTGACAAAAGTTTTCGAAAGAGTGCAACCGCTTAAAGTGAAAGCTCACCATGGAAGAGATTCTACTAAGAAAACCTGTAGAACAATAAAACAACTCCGACAGGATCCGCAATTAGCACTCATTTTACACCTCGTTCTGACTTCTTTCTAGGCTGCACTTTTTATTTATTATCTATGCACTGGAACTTTGTGTCTTTAACAGAAAAATGCAGTTCTATCGCTGATTCCCAAAGGGAAATGTGGCGGATTTAATCCTTGTGATGGCACGGCAAAGCTAAGAAAAGCGCGTACAGCCGGTAGTTAGCCGGTCTGTAGACTAAAGAGTTTTTCGCATCTTAGAGCACAGGGAAGGTATCCTGAAGGAACGGCACTGTCAAAGGAAGTTTTTGACGGAAACAATATCTGTGACAATCTGACAGAGCTGCTCCCTATTTTCCCAAACAATGAGCCAGGCCCAAGGTAAAAATCTTAAAGTCCTGGATCTCTTTCAGTTCTCTGCATTGCCAATAGAACACACGGCGAAAGGATACGAATAAAAACTACGTGGACGACTTGGTCATATATAAATCCAATTTATCTCAAATGCAGCAGACCTTCGTTAGCCTCTATATGGTAATAACTGAACGAAGACTAATAATCCACCTGGTTAATATGGAGGCTGGAAAATTTGGAGTAAGAGACAAAACCTCTGTTGTTGATGCACTGTTCCTAGACCGATCATGCCTTCAATACATCAACAAATTCCCATATTGCAGGCTACTCACCTTCTTTACAGTTACAGTTTTACTTCGCATATTACAGCGGAACATTACAAAGCCCTGATAACGTCATACAGGAATCAACTTATGACGAAAACGTTACCGGTTGCGTCTCACAGAACAAAGTAATCCGGAAAGGCTTTATTGTAGCGAATCTTGGGTGTCTCAATCGAGTAAAGGTCACCTTTCTGAAGCTTACACTAGGCTCTCATCGCAAAGCAAGAAATCGAGTAATGTCACTCCTTGCTAATTCCCTGTGGGCCATTGGAGATTAGAAATTCTGTTTTAGGTTCCCACAAGCGCACGCCTTTTCAACACTGAACCGAATAAACAGGGTCGTTGTTACTTGTTTTGCAATTTACGGTTTATCGACCACAAATCGTGTATAGATGCACACTCTTATGAGGCTAGCGAGGAATGTTTTCACAGCCGATGTAGGAGAATTACGATAAATACCTTGTATCCAGCAATCTCATAGTATCCTTCCTAGAAATCCTAGCTAGCTGTTTAGCTTTGCGAGCTCGCACTTAAAACTACAAAATGTTGATGCTTATTGTGAGATCTTCAGGAAACACAGTAGCAGCTCATTAACGATCCTGTAATATGTTATACTTGATTGTCATATTTTTAATCGTAACATATATGTAAGTAAAATCGTCAAATTGTGTTACTGTATATTTACCATTATAAATGAATAAATGAAGTAACGGAATCATTACACATTATTATTATTGTTAGTTATTTTGCTTTGTTATATCAAGTTATATCAAAATAAGCCTACAAAGACCTTTGGTGGCATTGATTGTTTGAGAAACACGCCAGAGAAGTTTTTTAAAAATGTTTTTTTGTTTCATGGTCCTTGGTGGGCATTTGCGTACAGTACTGGTGGTTTCTTTTTCATTTAACAATCCATTGGCATATATCAAAAGCAACTCCTAGTTATTTGAGCTTGGATTTATAAAATTAACTGCAGAGCAAACCGATACAAACTAATACCGGAATTTTCAAATTTTCAGTTATGACTCCTCCTGGGCAAAGCCGTTGGGACTTAACCCGCTTGTGAAGGCCGTAGTAACTGGAAAGTGCAAAAAACTCAACTGCACCAATAATAATGAGTCGTTTGCTACTCTATCCGTAGTCAATCAAAATAGTAACGTCAACTTTAAAATGAACAGTAAGAATAGCATTGATGCAAACTCCGTTTTATAGTTCGCACGAAGTTACATACTTCGGTACATACTTTTTTGAAGTAATCTTATAACGATATTTGAGTTGATAAGTATACCTTTTGCGACGGTTGCGACCTACCTGCACCTATACGCCCTAGCTCATAAGTGTCTGTGCTTTTACTTTAAAAGCCGCTCTAAAGGCCTAACCCGCGTGTTTATAGACGTATGATAAAAGTTTACAAGAAACGCACTGTACCGAAATGAAACTTTTCGGGAGCATGGCCAGCTGAATTTAGTAATAAAAAACAATCTAGTACTCAACTTTCTTTCGCACTTTTTTAAGATAGATACTTATTCTTTCTGAACTTACTACAAATCCTGTGAGTGGGACACATATCCAAAGATTTTTTAAATTCTAGGTTGTATGATATGCATCAAACAAAGACATTAAAACGAAATTGACTATGGCTCTTATATTAATTATTATATGATATGATCGTATGATATGTTAAACTTATACCATTAAAGGATAACAATTACAGCTTATTCAATTGTATTCCTTTGATAGAGGTCTTTAACTGCTGTATGCCAGATTATCATTGAATATCAGAAATGGACAACCATCGAATGTGAGCTAATTATGTGTATGTATAGTAAATAAGCTTCTCTAAATTAGAAAATTAATATGTGCCAAGTATAATAAATTTATTAAAATACGTTTTCAGTCAAAACTATAACATACTTTCCTCAAATGTGAAGTAGAGCGATCATATTTGTTTCCAAGATGAGCATTAACACAGTAAAAAATATTATTTGTACCTTGTAATGCTGTCTTAGACGAAACAGGAGCTCCATCTTTCTTTAAATACGCTTTGTTTCTAGGTAGAAACGTAATAAATTGATTGTGCTCTATTCATAAAGTAGGGACGCAAATGGGTTTTCCGGTTGTTCAATTCTCTTAACTCAGACTAAGTATAATATAATAATAAATAATGTTACGCAAGTTATCAGCATGAAATGTCAATCAAAGAGAGCACGTATATTATATACATACGTCACGTATATTTTGGTCGGCAAATTCGGTAGTACAAAATCTGGTTCCTTGCGTCTACATTTTTTGAGTGTTTGACATCTTGTTATTATTTAAACCTTTCATCTTAGTACTTTGTAATAATGGACCATTCCGCCATTAACAATATATCATTAATTCGAACTAGGATACTGCACGCATCAAGCCACGAGGAGACTGAAACTTGTTTGAATTTGAGTGCTTTTTTTTAAAGAAAAACGAAGTTCATATTGACGAATATGCATAATCTGGTTATGTAAACACTGAGTTCTTAAATGGATTGAATGAATTACTAGCAAATTGTCTCTATAGCTAGACAACATTGCTTTTAACATATGGGACAAAATGTACGTACTTATTAGAAATAGTGAAATATAGAAACTTACCGTGACTTTAGAAATAAAGTTAAAGAAGAATATCATTATCGATGTCATTTTAGAATTTGTTTGAATACGTATGCGTGACTAACCGACGCTATTAGGCTAGAAAGTGATAGCACTTTTCGCTGACAAGAATAGAGAGTATATTTGAGCTAATAGATGCAGATACGACAACAAATCGAAACCAGCTGAAAAACTATAAAGCTAAAAACCGAACTACAAAATGATTTTAAGGACACCAGCGAAATCACGTTACAAAAGGGTCGTCTATTTTCGGTCTTATTTAACTTTTAAAGAGGTTTTGATTGTTTTTTTTTATATTATCTTATTCTTTTACTTTGTCTCTTTATGTATGAGATAATCGAATATTAAAATTGTGAGATTTTAAAACAATGTACATCTATCTTAAAGTCCAAGCAAGATGTAAAATTTTGAGTCATGGACGAAATAATTATCGCAAGCGTGCCAAGCAGAAAGGGGTTTCTAACAGCCGGTAGATAGCTGAAAACCAAAAAAAGAACGCAATAAAAAAAACTGCCGTTGTTATGTATAACCCTAACAGTATCGAGAAAAAACTAACTCGATTCTCGGTTAGTTTAAAGTCTATTGTAGTCAAAGAACATTCATCAGTCGGATTATCTATATAAAAAAGAAACACGATTCGCGACAGTAACGTGAGACGTTTTATTCTACTAGGCGTGACGCCAAAAATCAGTAGCCACAAAGATCGTAGAAGTTGGCTGACCCTGTGGCTAAACTTAAATTTAGGTGTGTACTATTGACCATGTATATACGTTGAAATAAGCCGTAGGTGATGTAAGGATATATGGTACACATAATGGTGCATCTTATTGCTCTGTTTGTGTTGTCGGAGTCTGAAATTAACAGAAGCAAAGTGTTTTAGATAATTATATAGTCTAGCAATACAGGTGCAATCCTGGGCACAGCCTGACAAATTTAGTGTGAATTCGTGTAACTTCGAACCTATGCACAACCTCGAAATTGGTGGCAAGGAGACTTTTAGATTAATGTACAACAATCAGTTAACATACCAACCTGTGGTAGTGAACGTTTCTCGTTTGACGTATCCGAGCATGGAGAAGAGATTCGTTTAGTTTTGGTACAGGAAGTAGCGTACTTCTGATCGAAAATTTGTATATTGCCTCCACCAGGCACGTGTTTTACATTGTCCATGGAGCCGACCTATGGATATAATATGCACAAAACATACAACAAGACTCTAATAAAACCGACAGCATGGCACAGCTGGGTTTGATATAATGCAGATTATGCCAGAGTGGTGTTACCAAGTGAGAACTTCTCACACCGATCAGAATACTACAATTGAAATCTATAAAATTATTAAATCCATAAAATAAAATGGCATACGAGAACGAAATAAACCACTGGTCATTTGTACGGGACGGAGTGTTTTATCGATGTATGATTTCCTATAGAAACTGATTTAAATTTACTAGTTATGCTTATACAGACAATTCTCAATTCATCACTGGGGCCAACTGCAATCATTTCGTCATTATATTGCTTTTATAATAATATCTCGGTAAAATCTATTTAATTCCGGAACTATTTCGTACCGCTTAAATTTCTCCAATATTTTTGTTACGTTATACGTGAATAGTAACTTTTTACCAATTGTATGTAGCGAAAGTATACACAGATTATGTATAAGGCTCATGAAATATACGAACCTTTGACCACTCTGTAGTCTAAACTATTTTGAAAATAGCATGATGAACACATTACCTGCTTTTACGTACACTTACCTTAGACCGTGCTTTTTCCTTAAAATCCAGTTTTCGGCTTTCGACCTAACAAATTATACACAGATTAGTTCCGTAGATCCCTCAAATCTACATAATATACGTTCGACTGCTATACTATATTACATAAATTTTAAGAATATAGCACACGAATCGGCGAGATTCGCTTCGCGCCTGTTTAACTATTGATTCATTTAGTTTGGGTCTTTGATATTGTTTTGAAGTTATTTTATCTTATAAATGGATCTGATTTGCGTTACACCTATCCAAACATAGATTATAATTCGGTTGCAGGCATACGCCTTTAAGTTAAACCATCGTAATTATCTTAAGTATTCTGTGGCGCCATTTCTAAGAAGCAGACCGTCAATCCGTTACCTTGCTTCGATAACCTCACAATCTCAGTGCAGTTATTTTGTTATCCTATTCGAATAATAGGTCCCATCTAACATTAATTACGCCTCTGTTGGTGAAATTTATTATTTCTTCTCGTTTTTCTTGCCATTAATCCGTTGCCATTAGCCCGTTCTAATATTTGGTTTCACACAACATATTTGAGCGCAGACTTGCGCCTTTATACGGGCCCGGCTGCTGTCCTAATTCTGCTATCCTATTGTATTTATCCGGTTACGGTGATCGTATTCCCTTCGTTAGTCGATGTGTCAGTGATCTAGTTACCCTGGTCCAGTTATAGTATTACCCTGTTGACCTCATTACTTTATGGCACTTCTTCATCGTGTATACATCGTGTTGTTTAAAGCAATAACTGGGCTTGTTTTTACAAAACCTGCACAAATATTACTTATATATATAACTAAGGGTTCATATTTCATTATCTATTTCGCCCACTTTTAAGAGTAAGAAACTTCCACGTCAAGGACTATGATTTACACGACAAAATAATGGTTTACGTTTCAGAATTATGAACCAGTTTACCAAAAATTACAAGTTTGCACTTCAGTAGTAGAAATTAGAAAAATTAAAAAAAACGATGTTGTACACATTTTGTTAAGTCTAAAAAACAATCAGCCTTTTAATAAAAATATTTCACAACTTCTAAACGGTTGTCGAGCAAACCGTAAAAAAGTCAGCCTGGTAACATCACGCACGCTGTAAGAAAACAAACGCGTTGCTTCAAAACAGGTACCTTTCTAATAAAAAAATATAAACCATATGCCCACATGGCTCATATTTCATTAACCGTTTTGTAAATTAGACAAATTATTGCGCTTCCTGTAAGGGAAGGAAGCTACCCCCTTCCCCCCAAACGTACTAACACGGTCAATTAATTATCAGATTAATGTGATTTATATTTTATCAACAACTATCTATTTAAGAAGAAGTTACCTTGTTAAAAATCGTAAAAAATCATTAAAACGTTTCAAAATTTCGGAAATAAAAAAATTCCTCAAACTCAACGTTTCTAATATAAATCTTTAAAAAATTTTCAACAGTTACCAAGCAAATTGCCAAACATGGTCAGTTTGGCTATATTAGAAGCATACTTCATGGAGAAAACGAAGTTCACCCTCCAAAGAAGAAGGTACTCGTTTGATGGGCTCCATTTTAGATGCAGCTCTTTCTAGCATGAAGCTTTACTAATTCTACTAAAATTAGTTAACTTTAAGAATTCGATTCGGATCGGATAGACAGCCAGAGCTTTCTAGTAGTTAGTAAACTAGAAAAAGCCCCGCGAGCTCTTTCTTGCGCTGGCTTTCAACACATTGAGCACATTTTTACCGGAGTAAAAGGCTAATCATACATACGTCAGAGGCAATGTTGAGCAGGTAGCAGCTTGTTATTAAGATTACAATATTGGTCGACACCTAGCTTAAGAGATGTTTTCAGAATCTAGCGTATTTAGTTTTTTATGCAATACACTTGAAGCCGTCTGCTGAAGGCCTGACGAACTTCGCCCCGTACCGTTCCTCTTGGTGCAGTGAATCTTTGATCGTTTTTCCGGGAGTGGTCACCTGCTGGTATCTAGTAACCAGAATACTAAAGTAAAAAAAAGTACAGTAATGTGCGGCAAATCTCCCGCAAGTCAGTTTTAAGAAATGGAAAATGAAACCCAAAAATATGATCAGAAATTTGCAACGGTATTTTAATAATACATAGACATAAGTAAGTAGTTGACGCTTGCATTGCCGACTGCCGGAGTAGTTTTCGTAATTTGCATTTCGAGGAGATAGTTGCAGCTGTACGTTGTCGAGAGTATTGCAAAGACGGCCGTCAAACAATACGCGTGAGGCGTTTCAGTGCAATCACTGGAGTAATATAGAATGGGTCGTAATTGAAAACAGGTTCTCCAAAAAACGTGATTTGACCTTCTGTTTTATGGTATGATTGCAAAGCAAAGCTGTATCCACTATTGGCCACGACTAAGTTGTATGTCAGAGTCTTGGGAAAGGGTGAGAGTAACTCATGGAGGTGCATGATCTCGTCTTTGACTTGGTCCTTGGTAATTTTTGGTTGCAGTAAAATGTGGATAAATCATACATGACCATCCTTGTGACATTGTTTTGGAAAATCAAGCTTCCTCATGAGAACAATCGAGGCACCTTTGTGAAGTAGCAGATTATGTGGCAGGAGTCCAGATACCTTAACGGAATTCGGTTGCAGAATGAGTTCGGTCGACATCATCTGATTGAACGCGTGGTACATCGTGGCATCGCCAGGGGAGAAATCAATGCAGGAATGATTAATACCTAGGGTCACTCCACTACTAAATATTATTATGCATGTTGTTAAGGAAGTGTCCATTGCAGTTTTGAATGAAACAGATGTATGAGTCCGCAACGTCTAACAAGAACTGAGAGTACTGGGCGTCAGCGGCAGTGAGGTGCATATCGGCGGTCAACTTGCATATCGTAAAATGCATCCACGGATAATAGTATTGGATGTATGTATCTTGAATCTCGGTGTTGGTACTGCGTTTGACGTCAGATAGCAGCAAAAGTCATTGCAGCACATTGTTGAGATTCTACCGAATGGGTCGTCTATGCTGCATATATCAGCGTACAGATGTTTTAACTGGAATATTGTTTAATTAAATGTAGTTGATCCTCAGAGAGTTGGCACTCGGAGGTTGCGAACAAGGTCTGGGGATTGCGCGTTGCACGTCGTGGTTAGACACAGCGAAGTATTGTCGACAGAGCGAATGAACATCATAGCTTTTGGCCTTGGCTTTGCCATGTAACCGTTCTAAGATGTTATGAAAGGATGCATCGCTTTCCCAAGAGAGATAGGTCTTCATCATTATGGATTGCATTAATGAGGTGTCTATATGCCGTTTCTCGGCGAAGCTGTCATTGAACATATTGATTCGATCTTCACCTTCATGTCAAGGGGGTATTGTTAATATAGGTTCAGTGTAGATGATTAAATACGCTAGCCCGATTCACGCGGTACGCGTAACAGTGGGGTGCGGTTAGGCTTCTGTTGTGAGTTGTCTGTAGCTGAAGGCGCCAGCCATGGTCATCAAGCGAGAACAAAAAAACCTATTTAAAACTGTTGGAGGATCAGTGTGATTCCAAAATTATTTTAAGTACGTGAATTGGGCACAGGCTGGTCGCTGAGATTGTCTTGGTAGTGAAGAAGTGCTTGGGTGTTATGGAGGGGCGGCGGCTGTCCTAAACAAAAATTATTACCTCATCGGCTATTTGCGCATCTAACATGTGGCCGTGCGAACTTAGTGAATAAGTAATGATGTGAGCTTTGCTTTCGTCACGAATGCTCTCTACTATAGGCATTTGTTTGCCGGTATACAACTTTATACATTTCAAATATATCGCGGAATTCGAGACGATACATAATGTGCAGCTAACGTTCAATGGTAGCTTAAAAATCTAGGAAATAGAATTAAATAAATTGACGTGGCTCATTGCATGCTGACGTTTGTGAGCTATTTGGTAATAAAAACACCTTGTATAATTGAAGCAAAATCTTGCGTACACCCAACCAGATGCACCTGGCCGCTCATGCCGAGCGATATCACCTGAAAAAATTTATTGTATTATCTGCAGGTTACACGAAAGGCTCTAATGACAGGCTTGTTGTCCTTATATAGCGCATCGAGCCCTGTGGGGTTTCATCTTACTTAACCTTTCATGCAGCAAAGACTTGTTTTGTTACCTTTAAAAATGGGATTTTACCGTGATGGCACACCTTGTTCATTGAGCCTACGTTTCCCCGTAGAAGGTTGTTTTGGTTCCCGCTTTGCTGGGAAGACTGTTGAGTACCAATCGGGAGTACATCAGTTACCGCTGGGTGAGCGTTGTCTGTGCATCTTAATGAGTTAATGGGCGATTGACTGCCTCAGAGCACTTCTCTGTAAACACTCTGTAATTTTGTCATTGTGGTTAGATTGTGGTCGGCGATTATCGGGACGCGTGTCAGGAGGCTGCGTATCTCGTAAATTATGAAGGCCGTCTCACTCGGTACGGCTCGAAAAGGTGTCCGACTTTCATTGTAGGTTGGAGTTGGAGGTAACGACATATTGGTCGTGGTGATCTAGCCCTTCACCACCAGGTGGTTGTAGTAAGCCCTTATCTCAGAAAAAGCCTAGACAGGCCATGGGGAAAGCTCGGATTTTTGCTAGGCGGCTTTTGTGCTTGTTTCGCCTTTCCGTCCCTACGGTTCGATCTGTGATGCCTCCGTATTGCGATGCAGGCTTTTCAAGTATTGCGACTTATAGGCAGCCATTCGCGACAGTGATCTTCCGGTATCAACTGAAACGGCGCGGGCGATTTACTGGGCACAAGCAAAGTGTTTACGGCGTTCAAACACAGCACGTTTTTCTTGTCCGTGTGTTTTGACACAATTTTGTATTCTACATACGTTAGGCTACGATCGACGGGCGCCTTATCCAACGGATGAATGTCACCCTATGTATAGATGAAAAAACGACTTTTCCTTTTAGGAACAAAATTATGAGGTGAATGGTGGTGAAGTTATGTATTTGGTCATGTATTGGCGCAGGTGACGCTAATGGCCGCCGCAGTGTTTCTAAATGGTATTGCGGTGCCGCTTTCACACGTGGAAAACAA